TTGTTTCCCCTAGCGCCCCCTGGCATAACAAGGAATAATGGCCACAAGTTGTTGGAGAGTAGGTTTAGATTAGACATTTGTAAGAACTACTTCACAGTTAGGGCGGCCAGAATCTGGAACCAATTTCCAAGGGAAGTGGTACTGGCTCCTACCCTGGGGGTCTTTAAGAGGAGGCTTGATGCCTACCTAGCTGGGATCATTTGAGCCCAGTTTTTTCTCCTGACTTGGCAGGGGGTCAGACTTGAAGATCTATAAGGTCCCTTCCAACCCTACTTCTATGATTCTATGAACCAAAAGTCACCTGCTTTCCAAATTTTGGTGTCACGTAAATACTTGGTAAGAGCATGCAAGTTACTGCTTTTGATTATCTGTAACCACTATAACAATGCACTTGTTTTCTTGTTAAAAAATTATGTAATTATTATGGACACCAAAACAGCTGGGTAAACATGAACCAAACCAATTATCCTGCCAAAACTCAACACAAATGTAAAACACTGAAGTTTAAAGGTGGTTTGGTTTTGTCTTCTGTATTTGGCTGGGAATATGTTTTGTAATACAAAAAGGAAGATTACTACTGTGGAATTTCCAACCTAGACAAAACTACAAGATAATGGAAATCTCAAAAGAAAAAGGAAAATCTCCAGTCTGAAAAATCAGGGTAAAATGGGCTATGATCATCTGCTGGTTACCTAAAGTGAACTTTGAAGCCTTTGAAGTTGTGCCCATTACTACAAAAAATCCATCATATAGCAGAGCTGTTTTCTAATGTTGTACAACTATACAGCATCTTTCATTTACTAGCATTTGGGTTCAGTGCTATAAGCTACTGATCCAAGAAAAAAATAAAACAAATGCTCAGGCACATACAAAGCAATGAAGCATTTTCAAAATCTTCAATACATGAATAATCTCATTTCTTTTAGAGAGACCAGAACACATTACACGATCAAACTTGTTTTAAGAGAAAACGATTACCTCTGGATCTTTCATAAGTTTGTAGATCAGACAGAACTGAGGCTTTGTGATACTGAAAGTCCCTCCAGTGAACTGCACAGAACTCAATTTATCAACTTTGGAAGGTTGTAATTGTCCCCCTTGGAAACAATCTTATAGTTCCTTTGAATCTAGGTTGAATATTTTCAATCTCTGATAATCAACTGTGTTCAAATTTATGGAAAATATGATTTGAGTTATTGCTTTTATTTAACATTACCTTAAATTAACTGCATTAACATACTATACAATCTAGACATATCTCAGAAATCAATTCTGTTAATAAAACACACTTTTACAGTAAATCATTGAACTTCAGGCATTAACAGGTAGAGTGGTTTATGTATACATGTACAGGTATAAGTATCATGTGTCAGCTGGGACTTTCTTCTTCTGATTCCCCCATGACATTCACTGTATTCTAAAATACAAGAAAAGGAACAAAGAAACTTTTAATATTACCTTGTAAAAGTGCCATACACAAAAGCAAACAGAAACAGAATTTTGTAAGTTCTTCAATATAACTGTGCATTCCTCCATTTTGTGAAGCATCATGTTAATTTTATTAGCCTTTATTGTTAATAAAAATCAAGATTTGTTATCTGATTCTGATAACAAAGACTATTGAATGTTTTAGTGTATATGATATTGCCAGCTTATCAATCTGGCCTCACAGTTTTATGCATTCTCATTAAGCATATCTGCAGAAAGTAAAAAGAATGTGTTAGCAACAAGGGGCTAATGTGTATGCAACTGTGAACCCAATTTGCATACCTACACTGGCTAGTTACACATGAGTGCTTACATACATAATTATTACTCATCTGTATACTTGATTACTCCATTTGTATGGGTAAGGGAAGCGGACAAACAAAAACCTACCTTACATACATAATGCTTTTGAATGCATGATTACATTAATTTAATTGTGAAAAGTGATCTCAAATATATTCTTAGATATAATATATTAAAAAATAAAAAAATTCCTAAAATATTTCTAAAACAGGCTGGGATTACATTTATAATATATTCATAAAGATATTCCTCCTGCATTAGAGAGACAGAGATGAAATTGTATTACAGACAATAAAAGCAGATGGGCAACCTAAGAAATACAAATTTTAAAAAGTGCCAACAAGAGCATATTGAAACTGATCTTTACTAGTCTGTTGAGATATACTGTACCATCAAAACGCATACTGAGATTTATGGTCTTCTAATTTAAAATAACAAACCACACATTCAAGTGAAATTAGCACCCTCTCATAAGGATTGAAACACTCATGTAACTGGATATATGTGACTACTAATTGCTGGCTCAAGTAACAGTGTTGTAGGCGAAGAGTATTGTGAGAACAGTGTACCTCTAAACACTGAAAAAATGTCACCTCTGCCTCATTAGGTATTTATCAAGATTACAGGAGCAACAGGAGACAGCTGTACCCATGGGAATATCTAAGCTTCTATTTGGAACACATTTAAATATAAAATAAGGAGTCTGAAACATGACAATTTCCTTTTACATCACAACCTCATTACCATTCTTTTACGGTTGCTAGAACAGAGACAAGCTAGGAGAAAACAAGTAAGAGATAAGGAGTTGCTATTCTCTAGCTAACCCAATGTGATGAAATAGCCCATGCAACCATTTGCAGCCAACACCAGATAGGACATTCTCAGAAGCCGCTCTAATTAAAGTGCCCACAGCTTCTCATGTATTCAGCATCCCATGCTTCAAAACGACATGCCTGAACTAAAACTCATTTGACAAGCTTTAGTTAAAGCACCATGCCACCATTTTGAAGCACAGGGACACTGAATACACATGATGTCAAGGCTGCTGAAGCATGCTGATTAGTCAAATCTGCTCCACCACGTTCTAATTAGAACATGTTGAAGCAGACATTCGGCACATATATAGGTGCCCTTTGATCTGTAGCATATGGTCCAAATGCGGTCTATTCTTTAAGATAATTTAGAAGGTGACACAGGCTTAATTCTAGAAGTGTCAGTAGGGATAGGAAAATTGCAGTGATTTACTTCTGCTTCTTTTTTGTTTTGTGTTTTAATTCTTACCTCATCCTGTCCACTCTCATCTACCTCCTCAACTCGGGCCAAATGAGGAGCTCCATATCTATCTGTTACCTCAGCTATTGTCTTTGATGCTTCCTACAATCGAAAATTCATTTTCATTAGATAATTATCTTATCAATAATTATATTAAAAGTGTCTAAAAATCTTAGTATGTATTAAAGAGTTTAATTATACATTATACCCATGATGCTCAATCCTTTTGCCCAGTGGGCCAGATGAGCAGTACCCTGTCTATCCACTGGCCAGATCTGGCCAGTGGTCCTGATCATGAGCCTGGGGCAGAAATGGTGGGGACACATTCAGCTGCATGGAGGGGGCAGGGGGCAGCTCAAGGAGAAGGGTGCATGGCCTGGCCCAGCCCTGATCTGGCCATCTAAGAGGAAGGGAGTGTGGCCTGGCCCGAAACCCAGCCATGTGGAGGGAAGGGGAGATTGCCTGGGCCCATTCTGGCTTTGCGGGGATAAGGAGCACAGCCAAGTTCTGAACTGCGGTGCCAGGCTAAGAAATTTGGCAGTGGGGAGGAGAGGCACTTTTAATTTCAACTGCTTCCCCACCACTAAATTCCCTGACCTGTGGAAAGCCCCATCAGCCAGATACCATGGCTCCACAGGCCAGATTTGGTCCCTGGGTCTGAGGTTGAATACTTCTTTATTAAATTAAAGCTAAAAAGGATGCTTAAATAAAGATTTATGTAAGCTCTGGTACAAGTTAGTGTGTGAAGGTCTGTGCATTACCATAGAGGCTAATCTTAATGGTTACAAAGAGAGTTTTGAACAATTTTAGGTTGTCATGTGGTGCTTTTTCTTCCTTATAATTTTTATTTTTTGCAGGAATATCATATCCATATTTTAACAAACAATTCAAAGAAAAACACACCTTTTTAGACTGTGATAGATTTCACATACCAAGAGCTGATTTTCATTTGAAATTTTTATAAATATAACTATGTCAGCAAAAACCCACCCCCTAAATAGACATAGTTATCCCAGGTAAAGTCAGAGCATAGAAACAGATATGCTGATGATAGTGGTGTCTCACACCAGTATAACTACCACCACAATAAGAAGGCTTTGCTGATTTAACTATCATAGCACAGTCAAACCCATAACACTTTTTAGTACAGACAAGTCCTAAATGTGTGTGGAACTGACAAAACTATTCACTTGTGCTCCTATCCACATGAAAACATTTTTATAACATAGTAAAGGATAGCAACAGCATCACTAAGCAAACAAATGTTTTGACAACTGGCTACAAAATATATGCCGAACATAATGGCAATATAATCAATGTCTTATCAAATTTTAATTTGAAGAGAGGACTTTGATATTCCCCCCCTCGATATATTCTGAATACAATATATAATATTTTGAGAAATTTTATAGCTGTATCTGGTTTAGAGGCTACAGATTCAACTCTTGCACTGTTCAAAGGGGACATTTGTATCCAGAGCATGAATGCAGGAAGGGTGGCGATTTGAGACATCATCAATCACTCATTAAATTTTGTCAAACCTCTTGAGCTTTCTGCTGCAACAACAGCTCTTCTGCTTTTTCTTCCACTAGCTTTTTGAGTTCCAACTCCTCAAGTTCTCGTTTCAGCTGAGCCTGCAGTCATTTTATAGAAGCAGTGCAAGTGCAAATTAGAAAAAAAGACAAGCTTCAGTAAAATCAGCTATGCTGAAGACTTTAACAGCACAACAGATGTTTTAATGTGTTTCCCCTCCATTATTTACTGTGTATTTTCTCATTTAAAACATAACAAAAATACAAAGAACAAAAAATAGCTGAATATATTAAGACCAAGTTGTGCTTTCTTGCAATATCAGTCTGACTGATAAGGTTATTGATACTATTAGACTAGAACAAAGATCAAGGTCTCTAACTATCCAAACAAAAAAAAAAAAAAAAAAAAAAAAAAAAAAAAAAAAAACTGAAAATCCTAACTTTCTATACATGCCCTTTCATGGAAGACTCTAACTATTGTATCACTGTTTCCTTGTACCTTTTCTCTCTCTTGTCTTATACTTAGATTGTAACCTGTAGGAATCAGTAATATTGTGTTCTGTGTTTGTACAGCACCCAGCAGAATCGGGGCCTAGTCGATGAGTAGGCACCCTAAGTACTGTGGTAATATAAGCAATCATCAACTTTGATCTATCTAATGTTTACTTGAAGACATTTTTTTCTGAAGTAGCCAGAAGTCTTTGGTGATTAAGGATCTTACTAATATAATGTCTGGATCACATAAATAAATACATAATCTAAGCATGCATAGCATTGATTTAACAAACACTTAGAGCTGGAGAATCAAGTATTGAGAGAAGAGGCTTGTTTCTTTACTACAATATTTTGTAATAATATTATTGCCATGTAAAATACTTTCTCTCTCTCTCTCCCAGTATATGCAGTATCATGCCCAGACAAACCCAGAACCAGTTCCTCAAAACTGCAACACATTCACAACCAGTACCTCAAAAAATGTGGATTAACTGTGATTTACCATCACTGCTACTGAGCCCAAGCAATTACTATAAAACCAGTAACTTATACAATTAGTTCTTTGTGATTTCACTACAGACAAAAATATTATTCTTAACTGCTTTCATTATTTAAAACATTTCAGCAAACAATCTTGTTTCTAGATTGTAAAATTGCAAATATAGAGAGTGAAATTTAATTACAATAAGCAACTTGTGCTAAGATTTGCGTAGTTAAATTAACCAGAACAACACAAGTTTAAGATAATTTACTTGACAAAATATTGGCTGTGTTTGAATGCAATATGCTCAGATCATGGAGACTGTATTATGTAGTCTGCTACATAAAGAATCCAATAAGGAAAAAACAATAGTACCATCTGAGTAGTACCCCCCATCTCTCCAATGCTGTGTATGTCTAAGTTAATCACAGCTCATTCCACCTAACCAGTGAGGATAAAAATCAACATTTTTTTTAAAGATAAAGAATCTGATTTTTTTAATTAAATCTTTTTTTAATTTAATTATATATTTTATTTTTTAAGATGCTTTTAAAAATAAACTTATATAAACATAGTTTTAATTTAAGATATGTTAAAGCTCAAAGATATCATCATGGAACAGGAATTATAACTTATAATTATATACTATTTGAGACAATTTATTCATGTAAACATTTTAGAAGTTTTATAAATAGGTCACAACAGGCCATGAACTATATTAGGGGCCCAATGTTATGGGGTTCCCAGAGGCTCCTCTATAGATTAGTAAAGATTAAAGAAAACCAGTCTACTCAAGGGGACTCAGTACTCCATCTAGAAGATCCCATTAAGCATCTCTGTGATGCTTAGCTGCAGTTCTCAAGCTGTGGATTTGTCTCCAGAGATCATAGGCAGACAAGGCTCTTTGGGTAGATGTGATATCTTTTACTAAACCAACTAACTAGTTGGAAAAATAGTTCTTTGCAAGCTTTCGGGCACAAACACCCATCTTCAGGCATAGGGAGAATTTGTTGTCTCCAGAGAGAGATAACATCCTTTTAACAGCAGTATAGGGAGATGAGAGATAACAGACCTGATTACCCACCCATCAGCCCTAATGTCTCTCTGCAAGTTTGTGTACATACAGTCAAGCCCTTACCTTTCTCTAAAGTGAAAAGTTCCAAGAAGTTAAATGAATAAAGGATATCAAACAACAAGAATGCACTTTTTGTTGAAAATAATGATTAAATTGGGGCTTCCTGACTAGTGATTTAACTTGTGATTTAAATCAAATCCACCCTGCAGTTAACTGCCAATCATTCCAAGGACATGTCTGTCAGGTTGTGTGCTCCCCCCAGCCACCTACTGGCAGAGCAGCAATAAAGCTTGGAAGGGCTACCTATGTAAAAGGCTGTACAGCTCCTCTTTTGTCTTGGTTTTGACTGATCAAACAGGACCACCTCAAATGAGACATCTGTTTGCAGGTCATCTGCTTAACCTTAAACCATCACTTGTATGCGACTAACCTACACAGTCAAATATACATCCAAAGCATACTTTTGATAAATAACCAAACATTCCAGAAAAAGCTTCATTTTGCATGAATATTCATAATAGAAATGATGCTCAAGTATACAGTGTGTCGAAAGAAAATAAAAAAAATGCATACACAATCAAATTAAAATTCATCTTCCAATTCAAACTAATATTTGCAGGATTTTTTCTGTCAGCTCTAATAAGATAGAAGACTATATGACACATCAGGGAACCACTGCATACACGCTCCCTGATCACAGAAGGGCAACATCTTTTAAAAGTGTATATTGCGTCCACTGTTTGTCTACTGCAATATAGGGAGAACACCAATTCTGCAGAACATATCACCATACATGACATCTAGAACAGAGACTGTTGATTTAAAAAGCTTGTTTGCACAGCAGTAGCTGCACAGAGCCACTTTGCCTCAGGGTTCCAGATGTTTAAAGATAACATAGTACAATCACTTTCCCTCTCCAACCAAAGCTGTGTTTTGGTTGGTCATGTCATTTATTATTCCACATATTCCTCATAGAAAATATGATATGAAAGGGTTCTGTGACTTTAGGAAGTTTGAAAATTGCTGCCGTATGCTAAAAATGTACAGTGCTATCTATGATAATGAATTATATTTTGCCGTACTTGCTGCTCCTCTGCCAGTTTCTGCTCAATCATCAGTTGTTCTTCCTTTATTTTTTCTAGCATATCCAGTTCCACCTGGGCCTCCTCCCGTTCTTGTTCCAGCTTGGCTCTTTCCAAGTCTCTCTATCATTACAGAAGTAATGTGACATTAACTAGTTAGAAGAGAGATATCATATCAGCTATAGTGTCATTAAAGTTGTCAACAGGGTAACAGTAACCATTTTAAATGCAGAGACGCCTACCTTTTTCTCTTCATCTAAGTTCTTCCTGTATTTGTAAATCCAGTGTGCCAGGTACTCTATTGGGTCTGCTGGTCGAAGCTCTACTACCTCTGCTAGTCCCTTTGCCAAACATGTTCCTACTGATCTCTTGAGGTACTCAGACTCCATCTGTACTTTCCTGAAAAAAAGTTCAAAGGCCAGAGACCCTAAAGCACTAATCAGTGTTTGCATATTTAAACTGGAAAACTACTAAACTAAGTAAAATTAATGGCTACAGGCAGCTTTGCCAATAAAATCAGTTCTGTTCAGATTCTCTGCAGATAGACTTGGAATTTTACTAGAGTTCCAGTGCTTCGCTAGACAGGGCTCTGAGTTGGAAGTTACTATTTCCCATTCTCCTGCACACCTGCTCAATTATCTTGGGAAAATTACTTCTCTCTCCCCCTCCTGTTCCTTTGTCCATCTATGGTAACTATTCAAACTCAGGACAGGAATTATTTTTTCATGTGTCTGACAATGTCTAGCTTATCACAAGTTGACTCTGATCTCAACTGACTGGGGTCTAACAAGTATGATTAGAGCACTAATAAAAATACCAATTTGTTTCTTTTTTAAACAATGTATTCAATGTGTAGCAAAACCCCCAGTTCTTCTTTTTTAATACATATTTTTATATATATGATAGATATGCATTCCCTCCCCTTCCCCAAGCATTTCAGACTTTTTCTCTCCCTCTCTATTCCCTATAGATAAGTATAAGTGAGCTCAAACTTAGGGTAAGCTTTAACATTTTTATTCTGATAGCAAGTTTTTGGTTTTGCATATCCACTGTTTTATATTGTATAATTATTAGGTTTGTATTGATTTTTACTGTTGTATATTGTATTACTATCATTTTGTATTGATTTTTATGGTTTTATATGGATATTGTATGGTTTAGGCCTGTGTTTGTAAGTGAAACAAAGTCATGTCAAGTTTCCATTTTATGTGTCAAGGCTCCATCTTGTGTCCTCTGCCTGGGCATCCCATGTTGCAACTGTATGAGTCACGTACCCCTTCCATGTAAATTGATTCCGGGATGAATGAAAAATAATTGGGAATGATTGAAATACAATGGTAGCAGGCCTCTACTGAATGGCTTGTAACAACTGATCCATCACCTCGCATTGATTCATCCAGGAACCACAGACCTCACCCAGGAACAGAGACAAGAACCCAGCATTTGAAAGACAAAAGACCCTGCAGAACCAGCAACTCTACCATTGTACCCCACCATTACAGACACCCAAAACTGCACATCCCTGCATAGAGCACACATGCTCAGTACGCAGGGATGACCCTTGCCTGGGCATGCCTCCTGTCACTAGGGTCACACAAGGTCTGCCTGTATAAAAAGGGGCAGCGAAGACAAACCCAGTGGGAACACCATTTCTATCTGGACCAGACCAGCTTCATGTCACCTATCCACCCCAGAGACCCCGCCATCAACCCCCCTCTGGACAACACAGAGCTAAAGGAGACCCCGACAGGCCATTGAGGATCAACTTCCAGCCTGGGATAGGTAGATATTACCTGCACACCTCCTCCTACAGTTTGGACTCTCACTCTCCTCCTGGACTTCAGTGGACTTCAGCCCCTGCACCAAGCCTCTCTAACCCCTGGTGGGTGTGTGCATGCGTGTGCGTGCACAAGGGAACCAATAAGACATTGTGTCACTATCTCCCCTGTTCAATAAAACCACTGTCATTTGCAACCCTGACTTAGGTCATGTTTTACTGAATCCCAGTCCCTTCCCTATCTTAAATTCCAACCTCATTTTCTCCCTCTCAGCTCCAGCTCCGTCCCCCTAGTTGCCCAATCTCCTCCCAATTCTGTCTCCCCTTTTCTGCCACCTCTCAGCCTCTCCTTGCTTTCCTGCTGTCACTGCTGCCTTTCAGCCTCCCATGCCATCTACTGCCTTTTCCCTGTGACTTTCTGCTGCCTTTTTCTGCTTTCCTGCAGCTTCCCAGCTCCTTGTGGTTGTCCGGCAGTTTCCTCCAGCGCCCAGCGCCTATTGCCGCTCCCTGCAATTTCTCTAGCTGCCCCGGAGTCATCCTCTGGATCCCCACACCCAGAGCCCCTCTTTAACACCCACACTTTGCCTCAGTCCCATTTTCCCTCACCCCACCTACCTTTCAGCTCCCCTGTAGCTCTGGCTCCAGTCTCAGCCTCTGTGCCATCCTTCCCCTGTTCTGCAGGCTTTGGGCATTGTCTTTTAATCAATAAAGATCAATTAACCTAAAGTTACCCCCGAGCCTCAGTTCTTCAGCCCAGGCCCCTCTAGTCTACCGGTTCTAATCCTGGTCCTGGTAACTTTCACTCCCAGCAACTTTCACTCCCTACACTTCTACTGTCTAATTATCT